GAATCTATATATATATATATATATATATATATATATGGATTCGATTAAAATCAGTAAATTAATTTGAATAAATTATATACCGTTTCATAATAGAAAGTATGCCAAGCATGTGCTTGTAAATTTCCGAATTTTCTTACTTGTTTCCAATTGTTCAATTTTCTCCTGTCGCCAATTCAACATCGCTTTGCATTTCACCAACTCAGAAGGTGTTTCAAGGTCAAACGTATGAGACACTGAAGTTTTAAAATTAAATATAAAAAAGGGAACAATTGTTAGGCAACATGGTAAATTGAGTGGCTTACATGGCTGCTTAGTCTGCGTTGAGAACGAAATCTGGAAGAAACAATAAAGTACAATACGCATTGACATACGACCTTGAATTTCACAGACAATAACCTCCCTAAGTCGTAAATAATCGTAGCCTCAACTTCAACACTAATTACATCAGGAATGGGGGTGTGCGATAGACTGACCTCCACGTGGTTCACCCTGGACAACGTGTACTCATACGGCAAAATGTCTATAAACCGGCAGTTGACTTCTGACTTCAAACTACCATGACCGTTTCTACAGTACTCAACTTACATTTTCTCTACCTTTGTGTCTGTCTGTCCATTTTAAATCCGTAAATCGCTCTTTTGTCCCCCCCCCTTTGTGAATTTTTCTCACTTTGCTATTCCTCCCCTCTGTGAAGCCTGAAGTCAGCTAAAGGGCTAATGATAACTATCAAAACGCCTGCCATTTGAAATAACTAAACGTCAGAGACTAGAGAAGAAAACTTTACCACTTGATTCAAAAGGGATAGAATGAGTTCAAAAAAATTATGAAGTAACTCATGATAGCCCCACCTCACTAGTACAAACTTTGCTGGACTATTGGTCAGTTAGTTAAAGCTAAGCAAATACAATTCGCGCTTAATGCAAAATGGCATGATTTACAAAGTAACACCTAATTAACTGTGATCATGGCAAACTTGCCAGGACCCAAATCTTGCAAAAAATTTATTTGGATATGTTCTCTTTCCCTTGATGATTGAACTTTTTAATCAACTAATGGAACATACATAGCCACACATGTCGACTTGTATGCTATCCTTCACTTCAACAAACAATTTCTTTAAGAATGACGTTTGTTTCATCAGATTTTCCAAATTGCAATGCTTTTTTTCAGTTGTTTTAATAACCTATTCCAAGGGCTTAAGGGAGGTCTAGTGTTTTAAAAGTAAGCCTATATTCCACTTAAGATTTCCTTTTGGCATATTTGCTATATCAAAAATAGTAGGTAAATCCAGTGAATAACTTTTCATTGCATTTGCTTAACCTTCAACGCAGTAAAAAACCCACCAATCGCAACCAAGTAACCAGGCGAAATATTTAGTAAAATTTTTATAGGAGAGAAAAAAGGGAGTTCAACAATTTCGCGTTTGGGAAACAATGAGAGGACAAACATGGTCAATATTTTTGCAACATGAATTCTGCCTTGAAAATAACACATCAAGTAGCTTGGTCCTATGCAAGTGAAATTAAATAGCAAAGTTTCATTAAAAACAAACGAAATAGACCATAATAGAGTGCAATAATTCCATGGGCATTTTAAATTGTGCCAAAAACGGCTGAGGGAAAGGTGGTAAAACCCAGGTTCTAAGACGTTGGAGATCCAACTGGAAGTCGGCTCGACTCAGCTGACTTCTTTTCGTGATGAAACCAATACTACTGGGACGAAGGTGGATGTTTATGGCTAAAAATGTTTGCCATTCAGCATGGCTACTTTGCTACTACCGACAGCGATTAGTCTTTTAATCTTTTTGCGTAATTAGTTATGTTAAAGAATTCTGAACTGGCCAGAATAATAAAAGGAATCAGAACAAAGGGCACCATTCTAGGTAGCGGAAGTTAGACGAGAGAAAAACAATATCAAACGCACAGCCTGGTATAAAATCAAAGGTTCCTGGGAACAGTGGAAGCAGAAGACCTAATTTATCAAACGATGTTTAAATCACTAATTGATACTAACTGCAAGTAATAAGCCAATTTAATTAGATCCGATAAAAGGAATATTAGAAAATACAAATTTTAGGAATCGAATAAAACTATTAAGATATATTTTTATTTAAATAATAAAGCAATTACTACCATTAGTAGAAAATATACGATTATTTGTTTAGAGTTTAGGGTTAAAAATGCCCATTTCCTGTTATCCTGTTTTGCATCGATTGTCCAATTTACTTAATATATGTCAAATTTTTAAATGAACGGATAATTATTTACATAAACATTAATAAAGGGAAATTTTTTGCGGTTTAACTGCCAAGATTCACTCAAAGATCATTGATTAATAGATTGATCCAAAAATGTAAACAAACCCAGTAGATCAGCATTAATCAATTTGAAATACTATAGAAATCTTTACGATAGATGAAATTCCTGGAACCATAAATGACGATTTTTCTACACCAATAGAATGCTGAATAAAGGTATTTCGCTTCGAGAAAAACTCGAAAAAAGGAGAGCTGTTTTGAATCTAAAAATAGGCCCTACTTTCCCCTGCACATAGACCAAGACGAATAGAGAAGTAAGCAAGCTCCAATGGAAATAATGATAATAATAAAAATGCAGTTATCCCAGGGAGAAAAGTAATAAGTTGGTCAATATATTATTTAGGTGAGAGGAAAACGGGAAGCATTTCGCAATCGTCGGAATAAACGAACATTCTGGAATTACCATTGGAGCGGCCCCATGCTGTTCAAGAATCCATATACTCAGAAGGAAATAAAAGGCGAAGTAAAGAGGAAGTTTGTGGTAAAATAGCTCATTTAGATAGGTTAAATTGCAGTAGTAGGCCATAAAAACAAAAAGTACTTGAAGATTTTAGCGAGAAAAAGATTGAGCACAAGTTTATTTATCGATTTATCTCCACTGAATTTTTCTAGGAGCATGACAGCGCCGAGTTATATTATAGAAACAGGGGGGAAATATCAACCATAGTGAGTAATGAAAACGAAATCTCAAGGCCATAGGAACAAAAGGTCTTTTGCGTTTCCCAAAAATTGGACACTTACGGCTGTGCAATTTATAAAATAACTGCCTTTCAAAATTGAAACGAATCAAAGATCTTAATTATAACATTTATTTGCCTTAATGTTAGGCTTTACTAAAATGTTGTACAAGGAAAAGACAGTGCAATGTAGCATAATTTATGCATAAATAACAATATTTTGCTAATATGGGGAAACGCGATTAGTTTACCTCCCCGTGGTGCACCCTGGGCAACGTATACTCATATGGCAAAAGTCTATTAACTGGCAGTTGACTTCTGACTTCAAACTACCATAACCCCACTGGATGCCATATTCTACCACTTCCACAGTAATCATCCTACCTTTTCTCTGCCTTTGTGTCTGTCTCTTTTACGACTGTAAACCAATCTTCTGCTCCCCATCCCTCGACTTTCTGTTACTTTGATGTTCCTTCCCCCTGTGAAGCCCGAAGTCAGTTAAAGAGCTAATGATAACTATCAAAACGCCTGCCATTTGAAATAAATAAGAGTTGAAAATTGTCAGTTATTTTGAGATGCAACACGTCTTGATTCTGACCGTACATAGAATGACTGGACACTTGTTATTAAGGAAGCTTTAAAAACATGTATGATCTTGTGAACCTTTATCCCATTTAGGGTTATGTCACTTTCTGACTTACTCTCGTACTGAGCTAAAGGTTCAAAAGCATTTTTGCATTAAAGCAGCTTACGTTGGGAACTTTCCTATAGAAGATTTAGGATTGCCAATACTTAGTGAAAATAGTTCGATTATTCACAATAATGTACAGTTTAAAATAGATCGGACAATCAAGTAACTATTTTCAAAGTCCGTACTCGGCCAGCATATTGATTTCGGCCAATTTGCTGGGATTCACCTTCTGCTTCTTCTTTGAAGGCTGATATTCACTACTCCCTTCATCCGTTTCGTCCAGTTTAAGCCGTCGCGATCTGACAAAAAAGACCATGAATAAATTAGACCAAACTACCGAACCTTAGGTATCTTTTATAAAATAAAAAAACTCTTTGTACACTGATGTAAACTATCTACCAATTGGTTATAGTTGGATTCCAATTAATTCACACACGATGAATAAGACAGGAGTACGGCTTCTAGCTGGGGTTTGGATATTAAAATCCAGATGTTTTACCGGCGGGAAAATACTGATAAGGATGATGGGCTAATCAGGAATTGCTCGCTAGTCAAAACACACTATAGCTTTGACCTTTGTTCGTTGGCGTCTTATCCGTGTTTATTTGTACCTGAGCGACTTCAAGATTTTCGCAAAAATTATAGGCTTTTCCAGCCTGCATTTTATACACTATTAACGATTAACATCCTATTTTATATTTTACGTACAGGGGTGTGCGATAGACTTACCTCCACGTGGTGCACCCTGGGCAACATATACTCACGGCAAAAAAGTCTATAAACTGGCAGTTGACTTCTGACTTCAAACTACCATGACCCCACTGCATTTCATATTCGAATAATTTCACAGTACTCATCTTACCTTACCTTTTCTCTACCTTTGTGTCTGTCTGTCTATCTCTTTTACATCTGTGAATCATTGTTCTGTCCCCCTCTCGACTCTTTGTCACTTTGATGTTCATCTTCCTTTCTATGAAGCCCGAAGTCAACTAAAGGGCTAATGATACCTATCATAACGCCTGCCATTTGAAATAAATAAATAAATATTTTACATACATACTTACTCCATTCAAATAAACCTTAGTTGAATTATACCATTTCATCAAATTGAGCATTTCAATTTTTATCAAACCGTAAATTTGAGTGATATCAACACTGAATCTCAAAAAAGGCAAAATTTGACATACACAATCCACCAGTTTTCAGAAATACGAGAACCCCAATTGTAATGAAAAATTTCACTTCAGTTATATTGAACCAAATTGTAAAATATTTACTAATGTAAATATTCCAGACCCTGACATCTCGGTTCGAAATTCAAGACTCATTTGTGTCTTTAAGACCCGTATGATCAAGTGAACTTGCACCAATATAGGAAAACTAGCTGCTAGTCCATACGTATCAATAATACGAGATGGTCAGGTAAGATAAACGATGAGAAAATAAGTTATTAAATCAGTTTTGTCTTAAGTGAATTTGGATTCAAACTGAAGCATACCTTATAGCAGAACCCTCAATAGTGAATTCATCGCCTCGCTTCTTCGTCGTTCTACCTCGACTGATTTGAGAGGGAGCTTCATTGAGACAGAAGGCACGGGCGACGTGTCCCAGATGCAGACGATGAAAGGTAAAATGGAGGCGCATTTCCCCACTAAATGAGGCGTAGGCTCTAATGAAGGAGGTGTAAGCGCGTTCCGCCATCAATTTCAACTCTGAACCCTCTTCATATACTGTTTGGAGAAAATATCGCGACATAATACTGGCCGCTTCTTCTACCGTATTTATTCCTGCTTTCTATGCAGAAAGAAGTTAAATTTATTCAGGAAATGGAATTGGAAGACACAGACGCACCACCCATCTACCCAATTCAGTGCACTGTATTTAAAAAAGAAGTCAACAAAGGCTTAACTTAATCTCCATTTTTTTTAAATAAGCCCACTACTCCCTATTGCATTAAAACGTGAGCCAAATATTAAGTATCAATAAATAATAAAATTAATTCAAAGTTGGTTTCTTCACCTTTTTAGTATTCTGAAGGTGGTAGAGGGCTGTTTGTAGCAGATCGGTTAGATTGACTGGTTTAAACTCTACACCGACAGTTGAAGCGAGTAGTTGAATGAAGGATTTCTCCTCAGACTGGAGAAAAAGGAGAGCTTTCCCACGACCACCGCATCTCGCTGTCCGACCTACACGATGAACGTAGTCGATTGGAGTTCCAGAGACATGATACTGCACAACCCAAGCTACTCCAGCCAAGTCCAGACCCCGACTAGCTACATCAGTTGTGAAAAGGATGCCATTCGGACAACCCGAAAAAGCTTGAAACACTGAATAACGTTCCTAAGCACCAAAAGCAATAAATAATACAAGAAGATTCGTAGACACCGATAAATTGCCTTAACATTTTAGCAAATTAATAACATTTAAAACCCACTTAATAAAGATTTAGTACGAAAACGAGGACGGTTCAACAAAAATAGCCGATAAAATTATAAAATTAAAATACGATTTAGCAATTTTGCAGCATGAGAAATAAATGAAATGCTGAAATACCTTGGGATCCATATTGCCATGAAGGCGATAGAAATTTAAATCATTTGTTCTGAATTCATCCTGGCCACTATCAGAATCTGAGCGCAATGTTTCTGAGAAGAGTCGGTGGTGGAAATCGACACAATCTTGAGTTGCAAAGAAGACAATCAACTTGCCTGATTTACTGTTATACTAGAAGTCAAGTAATTACAAGAAAATGTATGTACAATTACCTTGGCCTTGAGAAGAAGAAAAGCAGCAAGAGCCACCAGACGTTGCTTACAAGGAACTACCAGCAAAAAGTGCTTTAGACCTGAAGGAAGTGAGAACTGTGCAGTTTGCTTGTCCTCTGACTTAACCTTGTCTTTTACGCCATTTCCTGTTTGGTTCTCAGAGACCTCACATTTTACGGGATTTCTCAGAGCTAAACCCGCCAAATTTTCCACACCTGGTGAAAGGGTGGCCGAAAGAAGAACAGTTTGTATAGAACTTTTACCACCTTTCGGGGTTGTTTCACGCACAATTATTTCAATTATTCGGCGAACATCACGCTCAAATCCCAATTCAACAAGTCTATCTGCTTCATCTATTACAAACCATTTGAGAGAACCTAAGTGCAAAGTAGATGTCTTGCTCAGATGATCGAGCAAACGACGTGGAGTGGTCACTATGATATTAAGCCCCTTTCTAATGCTAGCCTTTTCGTTCTTCCGCTTAGCGCCACCGACAAGACAACCAGGAACAATTCGAACACAAGCTCCACAAATTTGAGTGAGAACAGTAAAGGTTTGCGTTGCAAGTTCTCGAGTCGGTAGAATAATGACGCATTTTGGCCCACTTTGGCGAGTGATAGGGGGTTCGGCCGTCATGAGGTCATTTAACATAGGTAATACATATGCTATTGTCTTTCCAGATCCTGTTTGAGCCTTGATCAAAGCGTCTCTACCCTCCATCAAATTCTTGATAGAAGCTACTTGTATAGAAGTGGGATGCTTGAACTTAAACCTATTCTGAATAGCTGCAAGTAAATGAGGGTGTATGTGGACATCGGACCCGAAAGAATTCCATGAGGACTCAGAGAAAACAGACTCAATATTAGGTTGAACAGTTTCCCTACACAAATTAGAATTTAAAAATACTGTTTACCCAATCGCAGAGAGCAAATCTTGTTGTGATAGATGCCTTTTAGACGAAAGTCCAACTTGAAGAGGGTTGCTTTGTATTGGCTTCTCAAGAAATTTTAAGTTACTCCCAGGCGATTGTTTTTCATTTATCACTTTTTTATTCGAATCGCCTGAGAAAGACACATTTTCTGCAACGTTTTCATAGGCATTAGCCGGGAGGCCAACATCTTTGATCATTTCCTTCGCGGTATGATAAGCTAGACCGTTTACATTTCCGTTTTTTCTGACAAAATATGTCTACAAAAGTTATTATTTTTCTTTGCTTACCTTATTTTTACCATTAATCGCAGGTTTTCTTGTGATTCCAAAACCTTGTACACCCTTTGGATTCCTAATGACATTAATCCTCTTTGGAGAGATTTTGGCGCACGATTTATTTAAATTTGACTACACGGTTAAAATTAACACATACTACCTCCTGAGTTAAGCCTGCACTCGAACAAATATTAATAAAAAAATCGTGGTCCATGTGGTGCAAGTCAAGGGACAGACAATTCACATACACCTTGAACTAGTGGCAATAGGTCATTGTTTTAAAGATCAAAAATTATCTGAAACCTCGTATTCTTTAATCAATAGCACTACTTATAAGTTGAGTTTATTTTATTGTCAGACATTTATTGTTTTTATTCTTGATCGTTAAACTAAACATTTAACCATCCATTACTTGCTCAGTATTTAATTATTGCGAGATAATTATGATTTTACTCACCATTTCATAGTTTTAACAAATCTATTTGAACTTATACTGTGCTATTTTCTCTATAACTTTCTATGTTATTTCGGCTTTCTAAATTAAAGAGTAAACTTATTTACTCAACTTGAATGAAGATAATTCGTTTTGATTCACTAAAAATGGCGAAAAGATATTAGATTATGAAAATTTTAATACCAATTAATTGTTAAAGGAAAATGACGAATTTTGATATTAAAAATAAACTTGATATTTTTTCACAATTTGCCCTATTTCATTAACATAAGCAATCGCAGCGGTCTAACTATGTTTAGCTCGTAGAATTTTTTCACTGAAGGTTTAATTTCAGTTAAAGCACCTGCCAAAACAGGTTAAAAGGATAACTTTGTTAAAAAGGGTATCTTGTGGCATAGGTATAAAAGAGAAAATGAAAGAATTAAGTAATATTTGAAGTCTTAGATATATCGAAATACGCCCTGGTAAAACGAATGAATTAGAATTAGGATGTTTGACAAGCACAATCTGATATTTAAGAAAAGAGAATCATGAAATTCTTACCAAAGAATTTTAACCGATATATTGCCCTAAATCGGTCCCATAAGTTTAAATATACAGTTAACTATTCTAATGTTAAGATAGAAATGCCGATTTAAGCCACTTACTAGCATACAATTACCTATGCAAAAGTGACATGATTGATTTTCCCGAAATTGTCAGAATTTCTATGAATCTTTATTTAATCTTTGTTGAACAAATGTGATCAATGATTCCCTAATAATATAAAAATTAATTGCTCTTATTGTCTTCTTTCAATTGAAAGTCTAAACCCTATATATATTTATTATGTAAAATTAACCCATCACTGAAGTAGTTTTGGTAAATTTTAAGTGACAATAATTATTACAAGATATGATAAGCATGTAATTCAAAGGACTAAAAAGATTTTCTCACTATAAGCAAATGGGGCTCTATTTTAAAATATTCATAAATAAATGCATATAAAATTATCAAATGCTTTACAGATTTTTATATTCGTTAAAATCTTTGCATATTTACGAATTATTGACTTCATTGATGGCGCCGCATTTTTTTACTTGTAGGGGTATTGTTGCCGTAGGTTCCCGAGTTTTTTAGTCGTAAAATGTTGGCTGCATCGGTAACTAAAAACTGTGGACGTATTTTAACGTCATTTCGACATTTTATTTCTTTGGCTACTGCTAGAGCTGGCGGATACCCTGGTTTTCAGGAGCCCAATGCTCCTGTCCCGGGTCGAAATCCTGTCTGGTCGGAGACTGGGAGTGAAATATTCAAAGATCTAAAAAGCGGTGACAAGATATTCGTCCATGGAGCCACGGGCACGCCAAGTGTCCTTTTATCATATCTGTATCATCACATCAGAGAGATTGATATAAAACACCTGAATGTATTGTGCCTTATGCCTATGGGTCCTCAGAGCTTGTTCAATGAAGACGTACGTGATAAGGTCAGACTTACTACTCCTCTGGCTAGTGGGTTACCCTTACTAATCTTTATTTTTCATAGACAAGTATTGTCGTGAGGCTGTAAATGATGGGAGGGCCGATTTTATCCCAATTTCAGTGTCTGAAATGCCTCTTCTTTACCGTCAAAAGCACGTTGATTTAGATTATGCTCTTATATCGGTCACCCCACCTGATAAGCATGGATTCTGTTCACTCGGTACTTTTGTTGGTACCACTCGATCAGCAGTTCAAAATGCCAAAAAGATTGTTGGTATGTTTATCGTCCATCAAAGTTATCTTGATTAGCTCAAGTAAACCCGATGCAACCCATAACCTATGGTGATTCAACAATCCACATTAGCAATATTGATTACTTGATAAACGGGCCTCAGCAGCTATTTGAGCATAGCTGGAAAACTATTTCTCCAGCAGAACAGAAAATCGCTAATATTATCGCTGAAAATCTTGTTGATAATGGAGCTACTCTCCAACTGTGTAAGAAACCATTCTGTTTATTTCACTTATCAATTTCCATCTGTTAATGTGTATGTTATTTTATTCTGCACAGCTCCATCAAATATTTCCCAACAGCTTACTCTCCAGTTACGTGGACATAAGGATTTGGGCCTTCATACCGAATGCTTTGGTGACGGTGAAGTTGATCTTGTCCATCTTGGAATCATCAACAATCTCTACAAAACGATTCTCAGAGGTCGAATTGTTGCTAGCTATGTCATTGGATCAAAGAAGACCTTCAATTTTATCAATGAGAATCCTCTTGTCGGTAAGGCTAAAACGCATAATAACATAGAGCTTTTTCTGGATGGAGAACCTTTTTTATGCTCCATCTAATTAGTTGAGATTTGACTAGTATATCTTTGTAGTATGATCTTCTATAATGTGTGTTCATACTAGAGTGTGGACCAAGCGAATTTATCTTCGTAGTTGTCAAACTAATGTGTACTGTTGTACCTTTGTGAAGCAATTTACCATAATGTTCTTTGTTACTTTCTGTTGTGCATGATTGTGCTTCCCCATCTAGCTCACTGACTTTGATCAGGTTTATTTTAAATAGTTTCCCTTTTATATGATATGGCATAACAACCACAATTAGTGCTTATCGTTAGAATTGATTAAGTTTTCTTACTTCATCCGTGTGTTCCCAGTCATTTTACTGATGGTATGTGTTCTCTACCCTAGTTTATTTTTCGTTTAATCAAGACGGCTAGTGTTGTTATTTTAGTGACAATTAATGTAACAACGAGGTACTGTCAAGACTTTTTAAAAAATTTCAGCTCTCTACGACATCGCCTGGGTTAATTCGCCGGAGTTGATTGCTCGAAATCCAAAAGTTACGACTATCAGTCATGCTTTTGAGATGGATCTTTCTGGACAAAGCTCCTCAGATGGATATGATGGTCACATTTTCACCGGTGCGTTTTTCATTTTTTGCTTATATATTTCCTTCCTCACCATTAGTTGTTCATGCATACATTTTGAGTGGACAGTTTATGCTTGTCTTATTTTCGTTTGAAATCCCACCTTGATTATAGATGGTTTTGGAGGTTTCCCACACGATGTGATAATACTCTATAAGCCTGCATATTAATGCCACTTATGTAATCATTCCGGCTTGGAACAATTAATAGAACATCTAGTGTTTAAAATTAAGCACAATACTTTATCGAATATATTTCAAATTAGTCTGAAGACCTGGTATCCTCTTAAATACATTACAGTGGCAAATTATCAGTAGTCTATGATATGCTTACCCCTTCGTGATTCTAGCATGTTTCGAGCTTCGTCTTCCTATCACTGTGGTATGGGGATTTTAATTTATTATTCTTTCAAAATACTGTAATATGGTTTCAGGGTTTGCGGAGTCGAAAAATGCATTTATCACAGTGCCACGCCCATGTATTAATGAGAATCAAGAAGCGGTACCTTTTCTTATCGGAGCGCGATTCGTAGGCATAAGTGCGAGTTTTTTTGCAAATTGCATCCCAAAACTGAAACTGACACTACCAATCTATTTAGGTTCAATTTGCAGCACCACAAACCATTAAGTTACATTTACTGTTATTTAATCTCTAAAATGCTTTATATTTAGTGATAGATGAATTAGGAAGAGGGAATAATGTGTAGTTTGAAATTGTAATTAAAAATTTGGTAGGAATAGGGAGTCGATTGGAATGGGGAAATTCTATGTAATTTAACTTATCTTCTACTCCCACAGGTGTTGGTGGTGTAATTGATTATCTACGCGGAGCCTCGATCGCATCTGATGGTGAGGGCAAGCCAATAATCGCCATGACTTCGTTGAATGCCGAGGGGAAATCGGCGATTGTGCCCTTCCTCTCACGGGGCACCTCGGTGGTGGCCACTCGTGCTCATATCCACTACGTCGTCACCGAGTATGGGATCGCCTACCTCTTTGGCAAAAATATTCGCCAGCGTGCTCATGCTCTCATTCAAATTGCACACCCGGACTATAGGTGAGCCTTTTAATCACAGAAACACCTGCCATGGTATTTTACTTGAATATATTAGACCACAATATCAATAAATGGGATATTTTGAAATGATTGTTGGAAAATCTGTGCACAAAATTTTACAGTTCGGTTTCTTATCACTTCCCGAATATATGCAAAATATTCATTAATAGACGATATTGCTCGTATGTTGGGCGAAGGTTTTTATTGCTTCTCGTAGTTATGCGTCCACAATTACACTGTTCTCATTATTCCCAAAACAGAATGAAGTGCTCATATTGAATGGTACACTGAGTTAAAATCAATCGAAGTGTATTTAAAATAGCCCCAATGGGCCATTTGAGGTGTGTATAAATTCAAAAGGGTCTTATGAAAATATCATTTGAATCATAGGTGGAAACAATACAATGTGAACTGTAGAAAAGCACTTGATTATTCATTAAAATAAGTAGAATTAATAGCAATTTCTTAATATTCATCTTGCTTCTTTTAGAGAGTCTTTAGAGAAAGCGGCCTTCGACCGGCTCAAATGCATGCCATCTCCCTAATCACCAAGTATTTCGTACAGTTCTCACCCAACAACCAAACTAACTTTTTGCGTTAAATATAGAAGAACAAATGTGTAAATGTTTCGCTTTTACTCGGCCACCCACTTCTGGATTCAACTATTTGTTTTTTTGCTTATTAATAGGACGCTTTGCTTAATTTGGATTTTTTTAAAAAATTCGGGTATGGGGTTATTTAAGCCATCGAATCGTGTTCTGAGGTCGGTGAAATGAATACTTACAAAGTGCGGGGTAGATAAGCTTTTACTTATTGAGATTTTTAATTATTGTAGCTCAACGCTTCCGAATTTTGTCCTAACGCTATGCGATTGTGATAATACCTAAGAGAGGAAGAATTTATTTGCAAATAGCTAACCAAAATAAATCGTTATATTTGCCGATTGAAGAACACAGCGAAGGAAAAGTTTGGGAAATAGAATTCGAAATTTACGAATGTGAGAAAGGAAGAGTGATCCATTTGTGTTGGTATTATGATATTTTCATTGAGAGCAGGAATAAAGCATCCTCAATCTCTCGTTAGAATCTATTGCCTGTAATCCCCTTGGCAAAGTACTCTAGTGTGGCAAATCTCCCGAAGTTTGCTAAGTTACCTCATGACATAGGATAAACATGCGTATGACGCCTTACTACATTACAGGTCTTATCTGGGGTCAACGGAAAATAGCATCTTTCTCGAAGTTGGAAAAACAAGAGTGGAAGCATTTTAAACAGCGAGGACGAACGAGATGGGAAGAATCGAAAGTGGGAGACAAATTTAACTTGAAATATGGGTTTGACAGGCGATGGTTGGATGGCGAGTTAGAGCTGCTCGTTTGTTGGCCGCTAGTGTTGGTCAGTCAAAAGCACTGGAGTCGAATTAACTAGATGTCTTCACCAGTTGCTCATCATGTCACCTCGTCGTGGTCAGAAGGGATGCTGTCATGGGAATAACCTGTGAGTTGATTTGCAGACTAGTTCCATTGTTGCATATGTCCCATTGCTGGAACCTACCCTCATCTCATCCGCCACTTTAGACGAGTCAATTGAACCTCAGTGAAAACCACCAGGCCAGAAAATTTCTTTTAATTATACTATCTTCGTCGCTCTTGTCACTTATTGTTACTCATCCGTCTCTGTATTTGCTTTTAACGTGACTTCCTAAATTCACCTTTTTCCCTTCTTCCTAATCCAAAGCAGACAGTGCTATTTTGTTCTAATTGAATATATTCTTACAAATAATCGTTATTATTATTTCAAATGGCAGACTTTATGAAATTCATCATTAACCCCTTAGTTACATAGAGGGCATGTGGGTTGAGTGTATACTCCCAA